CTTATGGCAGCGTTTCGACCGTACAGCGAACACGCTCGGAATCGAGAGCGCTCTTGCCGTCGGAGCGGCTCGGTGTTCCCCAGAGGCGTTCCCCCTCGGGCGGGGGCAGGTCCGCCGCCCACCTTGCCGACCCTGGCCTCAGAGGGGAAGCGTCGGCCACGCGCAGAGATGGGGTAGGCAGGGGGGGAGGGGGGAAGGCTTCTTGGAGGCACCCCTGCTTTTCAGAAGGCCCGGCCTCTTCCTGAGAGGCCTCTCCCCCTCGTTACCCCCCTTCTCACCACCCACCAAACCACCCCAACCCAACCCGAAGGCTCAGATTTACCCTCGATTTCTAGTGGGGGGGGGGGGGTCCGGGAACATCGAAAAAACACATATGGAGCCCATACCCCCCCCAACCCGAAATTCGGGTCTTCGGGTTGGGTTGGGGTGGTTTGGTAGGTAGTCACCTTCTGCGAGCCGCCGAAATCAGACACCACCGAGAGCGATGCCCCTCTGTCGCCTGCGTCCTTCGGGAGCTTCCCGGGGTGGGCGGGTGGGCCCTGGCCGCCGCGGCGTGGAGGCGCCTCGGAAGCCGTGTGAGGTCGCACCTCCTGGAAGGGAGCCCCAGGGAGCAGCGGGCCCAGACATCGGGCGTCTCGAAAAAATCGAGACGGAGGTTTTTCGTCGTTTTCGGCCTCTCGGGGCCCTCGCCGGGCCTCGGGACCGTCAAAAAACGACTCGGGGTGAAAAACCGGTCCCAGGGAAGTAGTCGGGAGGTCGGGGGCCCGTGTCTCGAAAAAATCGAGACGTCGGATGTCTGGGGGTGTGGGCCTGCGGGCCCCATCTTCGAGCGTGCAGGCTGAAAAGCACAGGTGGTCCTTCCAGTCCTCTGCTCGTCGTGGTGTTTCAACCGACTTTTAGCCTTGACCACCAGATAGAATCTCGAGCACCAAGAGAGTACCCAAACTCGGGGGTTTTCACGCGTCGGGGACTGGGAGACACTCGTGCGACACTGTCTCGACACTGTTGCGGCACTGTTGCGGCACTTTTCTGGGTGCTCGAAACCATGTCTGGGATGTGGTCCTTAAGTACGATGGGAACAGCACAATGCTGGTGTATATCTGCCAAGCCAATGCTGTTTCCCCATGGCCGGGCCCCTCCCAGGCTCAGGAGCGGTGTGCAAGCCCTGTGGTGGCTCGGCCAGAGAGGCCTGCACACCGATCCTGGGCCTAGGCGCGGCCAGGGTCGGGGAGGTGGGTCCAGCAGGGGCTCGACCACAAGAAGCCTTCCGCAAGAAGCCCAACCCTGAGACCCCAGGACGTCCATGGACTCCTGGCGCGGGCACGTCACGCTCCTCATAGCAGAACCATCGAAGCCCAAGAAACCCAGCGCACCCTGGAAGCAGGCGGGCTGCTTCTTGGCATGGGTCTCCACTGTCGTTGACGCCCCCTGATTAGGCCCCAGTAGAGCGGCCACGCCCAGCCAGGGAGAGGCGTGGGCTTCGTCTCTTATTCCGCGGGCTTCTGCAGCTCGGCCAACCCCGAGGGGAAGCATGTGGGCCCTCGAGAGGGCTTCGATGGCCACGCTCAGCCAGGGAGAGAGAGGGGCTCCGTTCCCTACTCCACGGGCCTCTGCAACTCGGCCAGCCCCGAAAGGGAGCAAGTGGGCCGCATGGGATCTCCCGGGGGCCCTCGAGAGGGCTTCGATGGCGACGCTCATCCAGGGAGAGAGATGGGCTCCGCTCCTGATTCAGCGGGCTGCTGCAACTCGGCAGACCCCGCAAGGAAGCAGGTGGGCCGCCTGGGATCTCCTGGGGCCCTCGAGAGGGCCTCGCTCTCTACTCGGGGGGTCCTTCCGACGAGGACGTTGCCCGTCCGCAGCGAAAGCCGCCCTCCCGCCTGGCGCCCCCTTGAGCCACAGCTCTCGAGAAGAGGGCTCTGCGACTGTGGCACGGCCTTCGTGCGCAGTCCAACGGGCCTCGTCCGAAGCGACAGCGCTAGTTTCACCGAGGATCCGAAGCGGTATGACTGTCAGTATTTGGGGGGCTGCAAGCAGTGCCGAAGAAAGCGAGGATCGAGGTATTGTGAAGCCCTGACGGCGGATGCCGCCGCCCCTGCAAGACATCGACGACGACCAGGAGAGGGAGGAGGAGGAAGAGGAGGAGGAGGAGGAGAAGGAGGAGGAGGGAGAAGGAGGAGGAGGAGGAGGAGGAGGCGGAGAACAGGAGGAGGAGGAGAAGGAGGAGGAAAAGGACTCCCCCCTGGGCCACCCCCCTGGGGAGGAGGACCGGAGGAGGACCGGCGTGGGAGAGGGAGGGGAGGGGGAGGAGGACCCCCAGGGACGGATGCGTATCTGAATCCCCTCCCTCGAGGCATTGGGGCGTTTCTGGGCCGCCGTCGTCGTCGTTAGCGTCGTCGTCGGCCGTCGGCCGCACGCCACGGACGCCCGCACACACCTTGCCTGCGGCGGCCCCCCTCTCCAGGCGAGCCGAGCGGGACCAGCTCTTCGAGTCGCTGGCGAGGACGGGAGCAGGACGAGGAGGAGGAGGAGGAGGAGGAGGAGGAGGAGGAGGAGGAAGAGCGGGGAGGAGGAGGAGGAGGAGGAGGAGGAGGAGGAGGAGGAGGAGGAGGAGGAGGAGGAGGAGGAGGAAGAGGAGGAGAGGAGGAGGAGGGGAGGAGGAGGAGGAGGAGGAGGGAGGAGGAGGAGGAGGAGGAGGAGGAGGAGGAGGAGGAGGAGGAGGAGGAGGGGGAGGAGGAAGAGGAGGAGGAGGACGAGGAGGAGGAGGAGAGGAGGAGGAGGAGGAGGAGGAGGAGGAGGAGGAGGAGGAGGAGAGGAGGAGGAGGAGGGGAGGAGGAGGGGAGAGGAGGAGAGGAGGAGGAGGAGGGGAGGGAGGAGGAGGAGGATGTGGAGGGGGAGGAGGAGGAGGAGGAGGAGAGAGAGGAGGAGAAGGAGGAGGAGGAGGAGGAGGAGGGGAGGGATGGGGAGAGGAGGAGGAGGAGGAGGAGGAGGAGGAGGAGGAGGAGGAGGAGGAGGAGGAGGGTGAGGAGGAGGAGGAGGAGGAGGAGGAGGAGAGGGGGAGGAGGAGGAGGAGGAGGAGGAGGAGGAGGGGGTGAGGAGGAAGAGCGGGAGGAGGAGGAGGAGGGAGGAGGAGGAGGGGAGTATCAGGATGAGGAGGAGGAGGTTCCGTAGCCATTTTGGCTCAAGTCCGTAGCGTTTCGCTCAGGGCTTGGCCTGCCTGGCAAGGGGGAAATCGCGGCCCCCGCCACTTCTGACCCTGCGGGTCAGCATACTCCATACTGTAACTCCGCGCCGTGGGCGCTACTCTCAGTCATTACGTCTCTTCTGGGTGCTCGCCTGCGGCCTCGGCGCTCATGGGAGGTGAGAAGGAGCGGGTGCGAAGTGACTGGTACTGCAAGGACTGTACGGTCAAGTGGGGCTCTCAGAAAGGCAAGCGCGTGTGCAACCTGGGCAGTCATCTTCATTGTAAGCAGTGTCAGATGCACAAGCGCAGCGTCTTCGGTGGGAATAAAGAAGGTGGGAGCCCCAGCAAGCACTCAGTATCTAATGCAGCTCCGACCACGCCCTGGGAGACAAAACGAGTCATTCAGCAGCTGGAATCAAACATCACGGAGTTGCGGGCTCAGCTACGTGAGCGTCAGCTTCCACTGCAGTCTAGCCCCGTGCAGGTTGAACCCACGGTGGAGGTCGTCGACCAGGATGATGACTCCTTGGACAAGCAGCTTGCACTGTTGGACACAAAGTTGCAGAAGCTCCCAGAGGCGCTGGTCAAGGAAATCCCTGAGTTGGCGGGTACCAGAAAGGAGCTTGTTGCACAGCGGGACAAACTGCAGCTGGAACGACGAGAACGCAAGCCTGTTGGTGTGCAGATCAATGAGGTCAACCGCAAGCTCTACCAGCTGGACCAGAAGATTCAAAAAGCAGAGGCCGCGGCTGAGCAGCGGCAGAAGCAACTCAAGCTGCTGCAGGAAGCAATCGAGGAGGACCAGACGAACTTGGCCTCTCTTCGTCAGCAACAGGCCACACTTGAAGGCCAGCGAGCGCAACTTGCTGCTACTGCTCTTCGGCCGCCAGCTCAGGCGGCAGAGGGTGCTACAGTATCGGTACAGCGCGCCCTCTTCAAGTTGAATACATTGGAAGCGGTTCTCAAAAAGCATGGTGTGGAAGGTGAATTGCTTTCTAAGATTGCTCAAGAGGGGGATTTGGCGAAACTTGTTCAACCTGAGGTGGCAGAGTCTGCAGGTAACCTCCTACTTCGGCCAGCGGTTGCGGTGGCAGGGGCAACAGCGGACATGGCTGTGGAACCAGAGGAACCTGCAGCTGCCCTTCCTAGTCTCCGTGAAGCCGACGAGGAGGCCCTTCGCAATATCTTTGTCGAATCAGGGGTTGTCGACTCCGAGGCAGTTGCGAAATTGGATCTCGGCAAACTACGTGCTGCAGCTAACCTCATGCACAAGCAAGTATCACGCTACAGCCCATACGAGTGATTGGGTATGGCCGCATGGTGTTGGTTTCTGGCTATCTGTCTTTGATTTTACCATGACGTGTACTATTCATGATGGACAACAACAGGTGGGCATTCTTGGCGATTTCTGGCAGCTGTACGTGGTATCACGTGAGGAGCTGAGCGGAGCAACGTCGAGATTGGCCACACTATTTAAGTCAGCAGAATCTTCTCTGAGTTCGCAGCCAGGCAAGGAGGTGACAATCTCAGAGGCTGCTTTTGCTGCTCCCACGGCGAAGGAACCCCCGTCTTCAGAGATCCAGGAATTCAGAGAACCCAGGGTCCTGGATTGGCCTGCTCGGCCTAACGGCCACTGCGCGGCCTGCTCCCAGGGGGACTTGCCTCGTCGCCAAAAAGGGAAAGGGAGCTGGAAAAGAACGCGACGGATCCAGGCTCAGGCAGAACCACCTTCCGCCATGGGTCGTCCACCTCCCGAGTGGTTTGACCACGTTCGCGAACAACGGGAGCAGGCTACAGACGGTTATGTCACTATGCGTCAGGACCTGCAGTCTTGGGCAGCTATGTGGATGGACGACTTGGCGTTCGGTCCGCGAAGCGACAACAACTGGAGGCGTTGGTGTGAACCCTTTTTGGATGAGATGTTTCGGCGTGGAGGCAATCAGGGGCTAAGGGCTGCTCTGTTGCGTTGGTTCCCACACCGTACTCTTGCTCAGATCATTGAGGGGCTATGTGCCAGAGCTCGGAGGCAGACAGCACCTCGTCGCACGGCCTTCTTGCAGCGGCTGGCAGATATGCCACATGCGGATAGGTATGAGTTCGAGATGCGTCACTGGCGTGAACTTGCTGAGCTTCGGGTTATGATGAGGAGATTATTGCAAACACGGGCGCCTAACTGTCATCCTGCTCCCCGTCGCCATCACCATGATGGAGATCAGGCTGTTGATGGCCCGCAGGAGGGCGAACATGGACCAGATCAAGGTAGCCTGCCTGATCCAGTCCTACCGCTGCATCGCGACACCCGTGACGGTCATGAGGGGCGTCGGGTGCAGGGGTGGCTTACCGCGGTCAACGTCACGGGCGCTGGCTCACTTATTGATTACTTGTCCCAAGAACCTGATGGCAAAGTGTTCGCGGTGCAAGAGCATCGTGCTTATGGCGATCGGCTGCTATCTGTACAAAGGCAAGCTCGAGACCTAGGATATCATGGATGTTGGTCGCCAGCTTCGGTCACAGAAGCAGGTGGCACGAGAGCGGGGGTTGCGGCGTTGGTCACGACTGACACTACGGTGACGGAAGCTCCCTTTCGCGCGCAGGTGGATTTACCCGAGGATAGGTTCGTGGCGGCGCACCTGCATTGGGGAGTACCAAAGGGCATCGTCGTGATGAGCGTGTACTTATACGACGACCAGGGCCTCGACGCTGACAACATGGCCATCATTTCAGGCATTCTGAAGTATGTTGGACTGCTCAACTTCTTGGGTATGGACTGGATTGCACTGGGAGATTGGAACTTACAACCTGAGGTCTGGGCTGACGAATGGCTGGAACAGGTGCATGGATTTCTTATTTTCTCAGCGACTTCCACTTGTCATAGGAGCATGTTGGGCACGGTTTTTGACTACGCGCTAGTGGCCAACAACCTTAACACGCGCATGCAGAAGCCAGAGGTGGTACATGACTCTGCGATAGCTACGCACTCGCCTGTGCGATACTCGTTGTTGGCACATGATATTCCGACATGGCGTAGGGTAATAGACGAAGCGCGGGGGTTCGGATCGGTTCCTCCTATTGGTTGTCCGTGCTACCCTCGGCGTGGTGCTTGGCGTCAGGCACGATTGGCGGTCTTGGATGCACATGGCAACGCGTCGCTGCAGGTGGCCTGGGACAATGTGGTACAGCAGATTGAACATGATTTGGCTGACAGGTGGCAGCTTCGAGGTGCCAACCATCGCAAACATATTGGACGGGCTGGCGCTGTATCATGGAAGTGGGAAAAGGTGGAGTGGCAGCCGCCACGAAAACGTACCTATGTATCTCAAGAGGTGAACTGTTGGCAGGTAGCAGGGCGGTGGGCATCTCACCTGGTGCGAGTACGTGCCCATCTTGGAGAGTATTGTCAACGTCTTCAGAGCGCCCACGCTATGTGCCCAGTTTCTTCACAGCAATGCGGGCATGTGGTTAAGATCATCAAGGAAGCTGCGATTTTCTAGAGCAAGGTTGCTGGGGCAAAACGGATTCTTGCTGGGCTTACCGATGGGGTTAGCACGTTCTTCACTTCAGGTATTGCGGTCTTCTTGCATGACGGCTTCGACGATATGGTCCAGTACATAGTGGAGCAGGCTTCCACTGTCGCCAAGCAGGCCGTCTCCGACAAGTACAAGGCATGGAAAGAGTGGGCAGATCGTTCCTTTCTTCGTGGTGCTAGTGCTGCACATCGGTTTACTAAGGTACAACAGGCGCCTGAGAAAGTGAAGCCCATGGTGTATGGAAGTCCTCATGCACTAGCAGATAGGGAGATGGTCACGTGGCGCGAGGTTTGGCAACATCATGGTTATGAGCTACCCGACAGGCCTGCTGATTTTACTTCGTGGCCCAAACTGCCAGCCATCAGTGTTCCTGACCTGCGAGCGGCTTCTCTTTCTTTTCCTGAGCGCACGGCTGTGGGACAAACGGTGATCGCGCCGAGAGCGCTATGGCACGTGTCGGATGAGGGCCTGTCGGTGGTCAACTTGTAGTTTTCGCGTTGTGAAGATCTTGGCTGGTGGCCTGGGGATCGCATTGTTAATATTCTTGTATGTTTGGCAAAACCTGACGGTGGAAGTCGTCTCATTTGCCTGGTCAACACCCTACTACGGCTATGGGCAAATGTCCGATCCTCGGTGGCCAAGCGTTGGATTAGGAACGCTAGAATTCCCAACATTTGGGGTGCAGGTGGCGCTTGGGGGTCCTCGACAGCATCGGCGGTGGATCACAATATCACAGCGGAAATGGCATTATACCTGGGAGAGTTCTCTGTGACAGCTCTTCTCGATGCATGG